TGTTTCGAAAAATAACTCACAAGGGTCATCCAACTGTGCAACTCCATCACGCTGGTCCAATCATCCTAAACAGGACGTAAATAATCAATGAATGTGATAAATTAGAATCTTGAAGAGTTAAATTTATTTTCTCTATAAATTTCATTGGCTTACGAATTCCATCAGTTTTGGAAGTAATTGCATGGTCACGTTGTTGGCGATTTGATGAGACGAAATCGGTCGAACATTAGGATCGTAATCGCAGAAAAGATATCTCCTCAATTTCAACAAGGTAGTTGGATGGTCATAATCCTTGCAATTTAACGCATAGTATTCGAGTTCATTGTCGTTTTCAGCTAAGATTGCTGAGAAAATATATTGTGCTGAATTGAAATCAAATTTTTCATTATTGATCCGGATGATAATTCTTCTAATCGTTGTCAAATATGATAATATAGAAAATTGATGAAATAAAAAAGGAAGGGATTAAAGTAATAGAATTGTATTATTAAAATTCTAATTAAATTTTTAGTGAAATTTAGTGAAAAAAAAAAGATTAAGAAACAAAAGAAAATCGAGAATTAAAATTGATTCGTCACGATAGATTGAAAGAAGCAACAATGATTACCTATCTATTTAAACAATAGGTTTTAGCTAGAGTCAAAATTAATAGGATAGAAATAAAATTTAGAAATTTGTGAAATTTCTTAAATCTATTCTTAGCTATCATTAACTATTATGAATTTTTCTATAAGAATTGAATAATAAATCTGAAATAATAAATTTCTTATCTTTTTATTCTTAATTAGTTTCTCGTCGTTATTTGATGTGCCGGATTACAACCGCAATTCTACTTTCTCGAAATCCAAGGAACATTGTTATAAAACTTTATTGCTAACGAATTTCCGTGTCTTAAGGAGAAAGGGAAACGATAATGATACTTGATGACACTTTACCCGAATCCTGCCAAAAAAGAAGAAATCCAAGAGCTGTTATTATTCTCATTTTCATTGAAATGAGCCAACAGCCACCAGTCGACTGAACGATTTCTCGTTTGTGACAGAACGATTATCAGACGCCCCATGAAATTCGAAGCTAGAGATAGGCGAGACGCCCCCCAGGTTCAATGCTTTTCACTTATTTTCAGATAGACAATTGGCAATTATCGAGGAATTTTCTCTACGAGAAATCTCTCGAAAATTTCTCTTTTTTCGGAGCAGGAAACAACTTAAGAACAACTCAGGAACAAACTTAAAGTCAAGAAAAGAATAAATAAAAAAAGAAAAAAGATAAAAATAAATAAATAAATTAATCGTTGATGAACGATAAAGATAAATATAAATATATATATATATAAAACTGAGATCAGTCTTTTATATTCATTGTCAGATACTAATTTTGATCGATCTTCCCTTATTTATAATAGAAAGTATTTGAACTTATTTCGTTCATTTTCACAATTAAATAAAAAGTATTACTTTTTTCGAAATACTCGTAAGGAATTAGAAACCTTTCAATCAAGATTTGAACCTATTTGCAATATACTTGATCCCATCTCTAACGTAAGCCTTCGCCTACGCGAACGTAATACCGATAAAGTGGCTTTTGAGCATGCGTAGTACTATGTTCTTCTTTTAAACACGTAATCCACATGCGATAAGCGTCAGTATGTCGCGTATCTTCGTACGAACACGCTCTGTATTGTGGCCTATTCTCTTTTCTGGGCCACGTGCATTGAAATAATCTTTGACGATTCGAATGAAAGGTAAATTTAAGTTGTTGTCAAAGAAATATGAGATACATCGGGGCGCTCGACGTCGGTACCACCAACGTACGATTTCATATACTCGATGAAGAAGGAAACACAATTGCTTTTTCAACGGAAAAGGTTAGATTTACCGTTATTGTGGATTTTTAGAAATATTTTTTAGAAGAAAAGAAACAAAAAATTTATAATTTATATTCTGTTGTCAATCATAAAAATCTTCGTGCACGTTGTAAAAATATATTTGTTAAAATAAATGCAATTGAATATCTTTGCAAAATTATTATTATATAGCATTATATTATTATATTTAACATTAATGGTCTTTTTATGGTTTATGAAAACTTTCGTAAATAACTATCATGTATATATTATATATATATATATATGTGTGTGTGTACAAAATATTAAATGAAACAACTCTGAAATAAAGAGAATAGAATACGTTTATATGTCGAATAATAATAAATGTTTTAAAACATTTATACACTATGTAACATCTGTTTTCCTTTTTTAAAAATAAGAATTATTTCAAACATGTGTTTATATATTTGAAATAATTATTCTATATTTTTTCATTCAGTAAAGAATGAGAAAATTCAAAATCATCGTGCGTGTGAAAAAGTAATATTATTTCACACATAAATATGAAAATAGTGGTTGTGATATAACAACTACATATAAAAATATAAAAAAGATGATTTGAAAATATAATTCGATTTATAATTTATAAGTTTTTTACATTACATGGAATATATGAATAATTTTCAATAAACTTATAGAATCATTGTTTTACTTTAGTTTTTCCTAGATATGAAATCAAAGATATTGAAATATAAAAGAATGTGTTATAATGTTATATATGTGTATGTTGAATATTTATATAATGACCTTAAGACTCGAGATAATAATATATGTGCATACTTATAAAAAAAACATCAAATCTTTATAATAAAATTACATATTGATAGTTTTAAAATAATTAAATTAGATTTTAATGAATTCTGTTTCTCATTAATAAAAAAATATTATTCAATAAATTTTCATAATTTATTAGAAAAATTATAAATTCAAAAAATATAAAACCGATAAATTATTACTTTAATTAATTATTGATTTTTTTTTTCAGTATTTCAATATTTTCTTAATCTTTTAATTAATATATAATTAATGCGAGAAAAATGAAAATAATAATAATACGAATTCATAAATTAATCATTAAATGAATTAAAATATTTCTTCTTACGTAGATACTATTATATAATTGTATAAATAGCAAAAAAATAATGATGCTCGAACGATAATTAGAATAATTTTATATGTAATTATAATAAAAAAATAAAAATATGATAATTTATTATTTAATAATAATGGATGACAGTGCTGTTTTTTCATTCTCGCTATTATTCTGTGTTATGATTACGGGAAAAAAATTATTTTTCTGAATCACATTTTTTTGCTCAACAAATGTTTATGTTCTTCTCTTATTCACTGCAAAATTATCTTCCAACATGTACAAACCGGTTCCAACGGTATTACACTCTCTGCACATCCGTCTTTTTGTTACGCATAGATCGAGATGATTTAATCCATATCAACGACAATTGAGTGAATTGACCGATCGTCGCGTTGTTTATTAACCCCTTCTATATAGTTGCTTAAAGAAATAAATCTGCATAAAGAGGAGTGTACACGAGGAAAATAATAATAGAAAAAAAGGCAGAAGAAGAAAGACTCTAATAAAAAAATAGATAAATAGAAGGGATCAATAGCTTCATTATCATTAGAAAAAAATGTAATTACAATATGCAACAAATTTAATGCAACTGATTTTTTATTCATTATTCATTGTTTTATTTCATGTATTTAACGATTATAAAAATTTAGTAGTATTAAAAATCTTTGAATATATTTTACGACAAATTTTAAAGCATTTCTTTAAAGCATCAAAACATAAAAAGATTTAAATAATTTTCTAAAAAGATTATTGATAATTTAACTATAATTTTGTATATATTTTTCTTGATTTTTTATTAATTCGAGGAAAATTATTTATCCTCTTTTTCTCTTTTTGTTAGATCCAACTTTTGTATCCAAAACCGAATTATGTGGAAATAGATCCAGATGCGTTATGGACAACTATAGTAAATGTAATAAAGAATACTCTAACAGGTGAGTTTGAATGATCATTTATAAAAACGTAGAAAAATTCTCGTTTCGAAAGGATGAGAAATATTTTTATTATTGTAGAATCAAAAGTGAGATTGGAATCGATAGTTGGTATCGGAATTTCGACACAACGAGGCAGTTTCACAACGTGGAATTCAAAAGATGGAAGGCATTATCACAAGTGAGTGTACAATCGAGTTTATTTCTATCGTTCTGTATTAATGATACGATGATTTTTATCAAATGTTTCAGTTTTATTACATGGAAAGATCTACGTGCCGACAATTTGGTCAAAGAATGGAACTCGTCGATAATAATGAGAATATTGAAAATGGGGTCGAAGATCTTATACACTTTCTCCAGGAACAAACGATTCCTTGGAATGAGCGTTTTTAAATTCATGAACACACAGGTTCTCTCTCTCTCGTCATATCATTATTACAATATCTAATAATCCATTTAATTCAATTAGACCAGTTGGTTTCAAATCAAAAGATAGAAAATGAAATGAAAATCTTCAAAATATTAATGTCTTTTAAATATTTTATTCATTACTCTATTTTCATTTCCTATCGATTTTTAAATTTCTATTTATTTATGTGTATTAAGTTAATTCTCTATGATACAGAACATTTAAAAAATTTTAATTTAATCATTATGTTTATTTTTTCTTTTTTTTTTTTTTTTTCATCATTTGTTTTACGACACTACTTAGATGTCACTAAGGTTAGTGTGGGTACTGCAACACGTGCCTGGTTTGCAAGAGGCGATGAACGATGGAAATGTCCTTTTCGGTGGAATTGATTCTTGGCTTTTATATAAATTCACTGGTATTCATTTTCTTATTATATTTTAATAATATATATTTCTTTTACACCCTGTCATTTTTCATTCAACTTTTCAATTTTATCACAGAATAAAAACAGTAATTTACTTTAATTTATTTTTATTTCCAAAAGAATCTTAAAAATAATAAACGGGTTATTAATATATTTATGGATATTTTCGAAGAATATAAGAATCTGAAGATATAAAAGTTGATATTCAAGAATATCGAGACTTATTTGTTAAGTTGTAATTAAAATTTATATTAAATGAAGGAAGATGGAAATAGAGTGCAATGTAACAAAAACACTCTATCCTGTATCTCGCTTCGTCCAATCCAAACTTTATTTATCAATTAACTTATAACTTAATAAATAAGCCTTAATCGACATTTTTGTACATCGACCTCTTTCGCGTTTGTTTTGATTTTTAGAATCTTTCAGAAATCTTATGAATATAATATTAACATCCTGTATATTTTTTTGTATAGGAAAACACGTGACAGACATTTCGAGTGCATCAGCGACTGGAATTTTTGATCCTTTTATCAAATGTTGGTCAAACTCTATGATAAATTTGCTTAAATTGCCGCACAATATCTTCCCCCAAGTGGTGGAGACCAGTGGAAATTTTGGTAGTACTCCAAAAGATTTATTCGGGGTCGAAATTCCGATATTATGTTCAGTAAGTTGTATAATATTATTAAAAAATTTAAACAAATTGAAGGGAGAAAAATCTTGTCTTCGACGAATACAAATTATTTGTACGAATTTTTAAGTTAATTTTTGAAATTAATCGTGTTATTTGAAGTAGACGACAGATCAATCGGCATCGCTGTTCGGCTCGATGTGTATGCAACCGGGAGATTTGAAAATCACCATGGGAACTGGCACGTTTTTGAACGTGAACACGGGTAATATCCCGCACGCTTCTGTCGCAGGTAATTTTTTTTTTTTTTAATAATATCTCGAAGGAGAACAGCCACAGAGAATTAGAAATAAATTGAAGAAAATGAAAGGATAAATATTATTTACGCGAAAAAAAATCCATTTCTGATTTTTAATCTCTTTTTTTTAACAGGACTTTATCCTCTGATCGCATGGCAAACAGGAGATGAATTAGTATACATGGCGGAAGGTGCATGGAACGAAACTGGAGGTATCATTGAATGGGCCAAAGAAATAAGTAATTTCTTGATGAAAATTTTTTTATTATAGTTTCGCAACATCAACAATTCCTATAATAAATTATATTTTTATTTAATTCTATTTTTTTTCATAATTAACTTTAATGTTTTCTCGATTTTTTCTTAAAAAAAAAAAGAAGATTAATATCGTTTATTTATCAAGAAAGAAAAATTTGTTAATCAAATAATATAATTTCAAGTAAACTTCAAGTCAACGAAACGCTAGAATTTTAAAGATGCAGTTTGTTTCAGGTCTAATCGACCAAGTAGCAGAAACAGCAAATATCGCGAACTCGGTGAACGATTCTGATGGAGTGTATTTCGTTCCTGCATTCAGTGGATTACACGTACGTTCAATATTTCATTTTTATAATTTTCTATAATTTATTTAAGTCGTTCATTCGATAAAAACAGTTCGATAAGAGGAGAAATTCTTCGTCGTTCGTTCACAGGCGCCGATAAATGATTACAGAGCAGCGGCAGGTTTCATAGGTCTAAAACCTACCACAAGAAAGAATCATCTGGTTCGAGCGTTGTTAGAAAGTATCGTTTTTGGAATGTTACTACTTTATGAGACATTATGTTCAGAAACTTCCTTCATTTATAAGAGAATACGGTTAGTAATGAATTCGTTAAAAAATAAGTTTGAAGAATTTCTTGATTACATATAAAATATTGTACTCGTTTCTCTCTCTATTTCATGAGAAAATATTTATTATAATTTGCTTGTACAATTATGTTTGTATAACCAATTCTATTTAAAACGTTTTCTCATCAAATTAGCAGGAAAATATAAAAAATCATTCTGAATATTCTATACATCATTACGTTGCATATTTAAAAATATTTATGTTACATATACTTTGAATTAAATATTAAACATTTAAATACAATTTTATTAGTATTAAATATATAAATATTGTAATTATTGTAGAGTTGATGGCGGAGTATCTAAAAATGATTTTATATTACAACTGCTAGCCGATCTGACAGGTCTAGAAGTGGAACGAGCATCGAGCACGGAAATATCTATTTTAGGAATAATATTTCTCACTGGTTTACAATGCGGTATGTAAATTTCCAAGACGACAGATAAAACTTAACAATATTATTGTTATGTATTTCTAGTTTTATTCAAACTGTTCGTAATATTGTTTATGACCCAACAATACCGATTGAAGATAATACAACATTTCATTTATAATTCATACGAAAATTATAATAACAATATGAAACGTTAAGGTTTAAAAAATTTCCACTTTATCATAATTATCGAAGGAAATGAAATATTAACTTACGGCTAAAAAAAAGTAATAAAAATAAACGTAATTTTTATAGAATTTTTTCGATCCGCTTTTTAGGCGTTTGGAAGAGCAAGGAAAATGTATTCAAGTTACGAAAAGTAGAAACAATATTTATGCCAAACAATGAAAACAGAGAACGATATCGACCGATAGTCGCTGAATGGAAACGAGCTCTCCAAAGACTCGGTAAATGGTATACCGAGATTAAATAATGGCCAACGATTGCCACAGGAAATAAAAGAAAAAGATCTGTTTACCTAGAAAATATATTAAAAGTTCCGATACCATATGATAATAAGATTTACTTATTGACCAATGTACATATGTATAGGTATTGTAATAAGGTACTGTAATAAATATAATACAATTTTTATTAAAAAAAATAGAAATTATTAATTTTATTCTTTTTTTTTTTTTTCTTTTTTCTTTTCTTTTTTAAATTAATCATCAAAGAAATTCATTCATTCAATTCATTCAATGCCATTCATTGTATGGGCATGATTATATACATGTAGTAACTATAGGATCGTATTTTTAGTAGATCGTGCTCGGGGCCCCGAGATCGTAAAACTCGTGCCTATTGCTGCTAAGCAATAAATTTTCTGAGGGTATACAATAAAAGTCATGTCAAATTAATCACTTTTTGAACTCGATGCTTTGAATTTTAAATTTAGTGTTTAAATCGCATTATTTCATATGAAATTAGAGAGAGAGAGAGGAATAAAATCATAATTTGTTTAAAAATTACAAATCCTTGAATTTTGCAATTTTTCTCAATTTTCGTGAAAATTGAAAGAAAAAGTTTCGTGAAAAAGATTTGAATTTTTATATTTAAAACTATATTCATATTTAATTAATTTTTTTTCATTTTTCCTTATAAATTCCTTTTAGATATATTTTTTTTTTCAGATTGGAAAATTATTTTTTTTATTATTCAAAATTATAATAAGAATAAAGAAATTTTATTTTTTAATTTTTGGTTTGAAGTCATAATTTTAAAAAAAACCCCCATCATATTTCTTGAAATTTTTTTCTAATTAAATAGATATAGAATAAGTTTTGATGTTATCTCAATTACTAGAATGGCTATACACTTATCATCATTTATCAGCTTATCAAAATAATAATCTTATCTTAATTTCATATAAATAGCATTATCATTTCTAAATTCGTATTATGCATTATATTTCAATTTGAACGAAATATAAAGACATTGAACTCAAAAAGTGATTGAATAGACGTAGAATGATCTACATAATTATTAACTTAAATTATTATATAATTAAATTATTAATTATATTATTAATACAAATCATTAATAGATTGATCGAAGAAAATAATTTTGTTTGTCTCAAAATTTGAATTTTCCTTTCTTGTTAATTAATTAATAAGGCGTGACCTTGACCAATGTCATTAAAAATTGCATTTATGCAGATACATTGTCGACACTGATAAATGAGTGATCCTGAGTTCCTGAGCACATAAGAAAATTATACATTACACTTTGGAACAACAGCATTTTACACTATCATTCGAGCATTTTTTCATGGAACCTTCAACTATCTATTACGAACTTCTATCATGTAAAATATAATTCAATCAGCTGATTAAACTTTTATTTTTCTGACGTGGTAAACTTTGTAGTACATTTCATGGAAATATGATTCATGTAAAATTATATATTTAATAAAAAAAAGAGAGAGAGAAAAAAAATGGAAAACTCACAAGAAATAAATAGAAAAATAAATTACTAGATTTATAGGTATTAGAAATTATATTTTTTACGTAAAAACGAAAAAATTTATTCATTAATTTATATTTTCTTAAAGAATAATTCTTTTTAATATGTATGTTACATAATTATTCATTTGGAATTGCGCATTTTCTCGATTACGCATACATTATACAAGTTTACACGAGCAGAAAACCGGATACATCTGAATCTATAGAGAAAGTTCGAAGAAAGTTAATGGAGAATCATTACACAAACAATGTGAGAAGGAAAAAGTTGAGAAGGAAAGTGTAACAAAACCATTTAAAGGAAACTTTCATTCCTTTAAATGGTTTGATAATAATTGCATTAGAAACTATTATAAAATAATGTATGTTAAACTATTTAAGATTTATCTTAATTTACATTTACATTTACATTTACAAATATAATAAATTTTTAAATGTATATTTATAAAATGTAAATACAAATAGTGATAATTCTCATGAGAAATAATTCAATATATAAATATTGATAGGATTAATTTATAAAAAAAATTATTAATTTGCACGACCTCATTTGGACTTGAATTATCTTTTTTTATAATGATTCTCATAATTGAAAATCAATATTAATATCATAAAAATGCGAAAATATATAATAATTGTTATTTATATAATTTACTTCATATTATTAAAAAATCAAAAACTGAATAAATATGATTAAATGCAACATGATACATGCAATATCTTAGTATCCTCTCAATTGCATTTAAGTCAAAGATGCATTTTATTTTATATGTTATCAATTTTAAGATATTGCTATAATATCTTGTAAATAATAAGTTTTTTTATTTATTATATCATGTAATTAAAAAGTTCTTATTTTTGGATTTTATAAAGAAAAAACGATTGATAATATTATATAACTTAAAGAAAAAAAAGTATAGCTCATTATTTATCCATATAAGAATATTATTCAATCGAATATGGCTGCCGGTATTTTCTATTCAAATAAAAACGACCTCGATTTTTTTTACTTGATGCATATATTATTGTGGGAATTATCATGCGATAAATTTTTATCAATTCAGTTTGAATTCAACAGCCATTTCACATTGTTTACAGTGCTTTATCTGTTAAAAAGATTTACGAATAACTCAAATATCATTATTTAATATTATTAAATATTTGAGATAAAATATAAGATAAAAAAAATAAAAAATGGTGAGTACAAATATCATTATTCAATATCATTAAACGTTTAACAAAGGTAAAAAATAATGAGTACATATTTTATTAAGTAGATTCGAAGAACTAACTTATAATATTTTGATATGATTCATGAAATAATGATTTTGTTTATTTAAAAGGTGCTGAAAACATTACTTTCAACATTATTTTCAAAATAAAGTAAAAAAGTTTTACTATTATATATATTCTTAACAAAATGATAAAATTCGAGGAACAAATTGAAATTGTATAAATATCGTAAAATTTTGATAGAAGAATAATCTTATTCCTTCTATATTTATTTGTATTATTTGATTGAAAGTCTATTCAATTGAATATACAAACGTTATTGAAATTTTTTCCTTTCGACTATTCGTAGTTTTGAATGTTATTGTATTTCGATGTTTAAATTTTTACAACATCTGTTTATTATTTACTAATTGGATAAATCCACGATTTCATTTTATTTGAAAGTAATTATTTATTAGATTTTTTATTAACACAATTAGATTTTTTTTAACTATAAACAAAATAACGTTAATAATTATAAATATAATTTATGATATAATATACAGTAATAATAATATATAATATATAATAATACGTAATAATATATAATATATATAATATGTAATATATAATAATATGTAATACATAATAATAATAATTTCAAATCTAGATATATTAACAAATTTATTATCTGGATAAAATAATTTTATTATTCATATTATTCAAATCATTTCTTTACTGTTTACATTTCCTTTACTTTTATTTCTATAATATGCAAATTTTCTTGTTTAAATGAATGTTTTCAACATTCTTTTCATCGGCGAGAAGGCAAAACTGGTTTAACCATCAATGAATAGTTCTGCATTCTGTATTTCTATACTCTTTCAAAAAAAAGAAGTTATTCAATTTATATTCATATAATATTCATTATATTCAATATTATATCATCATGTATCACACGTATTATATGTATTATAAATTTTTGTTAAATCTTTCAAAGAGATTTTTTCCATTTTTTCCTTTTTTTTTTCCATTTCTTCTTTATAAAAAAAAAAAAAAATCAATAAAAAAAATATTTTTAAATATATTCTTAATTTTAACTTCTCAACTAGAATATTGATATCTATCTAAAGAAATTCTAAAGAATAAAGAAGAAAAAAAAGAAGATAAAAAAGAAATATTAAAAATTAGAAATGTTTTATACAAATCAAATATTTATATATGTAGAAATATGAAATAAATATTATTTTTAAGCATATTAATTCGTAAATACAATATATACGTTGCTTTATATTTGCATGATTAGCATTTTATATTCCGGTGTAACATCAGAAAAGGATACTATTGCATTCAGTCGTACTATAGCTATGTGAAAGGCAACATCGTCCTATTAGATCTCCGATATCTATGGTTTAAAACGTTGAACACCTTCTAATACTCTCTTGTTAAACGACAAACTTAATATTAAAATACAATTGTGTAATGTAAGTACTCATTCACCTGCGATACATATTTTTAATTTTGTTTTTTATCATTTTACTTATATAATAATTTCATTATCAAATTATATTTAAATGGAAAAGATAATTTTATAGTTTGCTTGGACGAAAGAAAATGGAAAAAAAATGCATGTACAATCATATGAAAATTAGTTATAATTGTAAAAAAAATTTTTTTTTAATGAAAACGTACAATATATAAAATTTATCCTTGGAATTATTCATTTTTTAAATACAAAACAAAATAAAATGAAGCAAATAAAATGCATTCGTGATTTGATGTAATATTTTTTTGCAAAAGTTTGTTGCACTGAAGAATTTATAGAATTATCGTTGTAAATAAATGCAGCGTATTCAACGTGTTTAAATTTCATTTCAATGATAATTACATAAGGAAAAAGAGAATTTACATTATCTCGAAAAATAAAAAAAAAATTGGCCAACATTACATACAACTTTTTGTTCGAGATATTAATTTTTTTTCGATTTTGATTTCAGACGGAAGTGAAAATCGAAGTGGGAGATTTAGAGGAACAACAAATCTCTCCGAAAGAACAAAACATGAAGTCAGAAGCATGTCAAATCGATATAGAATCGCAATTAGATGATCCCACAATGGGTAAGTGATTTTAAGATCATTTTAAGATCATTCTGTTTTTTTCTTTTTTTATTTCTTTTTCATCTTTTTCTATCTTTTCTTTGCTAATAATAATAATTCGAAAATATCAAGAAAATTGAACGAATAAACAAATATGTTGATAAAAATTTTTTAACAATTTCTTAATTTAAATATATATTTTATATTTTCATTATCTAATCTCTAGTAATTTACTTAATGTGCAACAAGAAATGTATTCGATTTCTCTTTTAACATAACTTTGATTTACATCGAAAAACAAACAAATATATATAGTGAAAATTAAATTAAAATA